AAAAAAAATTACTGCAAAAAAGTGCAAAATTTCTTGACCCCTGCACACTTTATCGAGAAACAAGCAGGCAGAAATACTCATGAATTTTACCGCAAAATATGTGCAGAATTCTCTATTTTTCTATCGAAAAATAGGCAGAATTCCTGTAAATTTTGCCGCAAAACACGGAAAATCAAACGTTTCACGGTAATTTTAGAAGAATTTTTGTAATCAAAAGAGGTAAAGTTCCCGCAAAAAGCTGCCTCAAAACAGCTAAAATTCTTCAAAATTCTGAGAAATCAACAAGAAAATTCACTTCAATGTAAGCTTCTTAAAAATGGCAAAATGTTCGCAAACTTTATCGCAGAACATGTGCAATTCATGAATTTTACCATACTGATGCATTATAATATTGCACAGTTATTATAATCTATTACAATAATTTGCGCATTAGTGAGTGGTACCTGCGAGAAAGAAAACGACCGCTCGTGAGGCCTCCGAAGACATCCCAAAAAGGTGATGGATACGAACTGGAGCTGTGCAACCCGAAATCGAAGGACCTGACATAACTGCGTCCGGAGTCTGGGAACATTCCAGTAAAATCACTAACATGGAATACTGTTTCATGCTCGAATGATACCGATAAAAAAAAAACCAGTCGTCTGGAAAGCCTGCACCAAAGAAATAGACGACTTTTTAGATTAAATCGGCAAAAAATGAGCAGCAGGACGGCGGTTAATAATAGCACCACAAAAGTGGGCAATGAGTCATCGCTATTGATGACCTGCGAGTAACCGACAGGTGGAGGAGGAGGTATGTCCAGGGTGGACAAGGATGTGGAACGGGAATCACCATAAGCAACAGCAACAGCAGCAGAGCAGCTTATAGGGGTAGCGCTTGAAAAGTGATATAATAACAGGAGAATGGAGGGAGAGAGAGGGAGGGACGGTGACTGGACTGGACTTGTGGATGATAATGATGATGTTAGTGATGACGATGATGGTAATGATGATGATGGAAATAACGATGATGGTGACGATGGTGATGCGCGACTGCTTCCTGGAGTAATTTCCATGCAATGATGCCCTCCGGTTCGGACAGCATCGCAAGCACTGGCTGCCCCTCACCGTCCGGTCACTCAAAGGCATGGAATGGAGGCGAGGAGGTAACTGGAGGAGAGATGAGGGAATGAATGGGAAAGCTGCTATTGCTGCTGCTGCGAGATAGGGCTGTTCAGTTTCCTTGCCTTTTAATTGACCCCTTCCAACACCGCCACAACCATCACCACTAACAAAGCACCACCTTTTCACCTCTCTTTTACCTCATTACCACAGGCAGATCCAGCGGAGAGAGGAGGGCGATGGAGCGAGTGCTGCAAAAGCCCGGGTCTGTTCATAAATAAAACTAAAGGTAACTCTAAATAGCAGTGTTGCAATTCTATTCCTAGTTTTTGCGTAGT